ACGGCGAAAAATAAAGAGGCCAGGGGCTGCCGAGAGCACGGACTGCCGAGGCCGCACCTGCTGTGTCCGATGCTCCCTCACACGGGACAAAGTTCAGTTTACACGTCAGCCGCAGGGAGAGACCAGCCTCTACCCAGCAGTGAGGCGGAGCTTAGATGAATGCCGCGTACTGTGTGCTCACCTGCTTTCGGGTGGTGGTTAGCCATGAGGAACTGGAAGCAGAGTGGGAACTGTGGCCCCGCTGGGACCCCAGGCTCACATGGGCGTGTCCCTTTCCCCCCCAGGTTCCAGGTGGACTTCCAGTGTGGCAGCAGCGTGAAGCCGCGGGCGGACGTGGCCTTCCACTTCAACCCTCGATTCAAAAGGACCAACTGCATCGTGTGCAACACTCTGAAGAATGAGAAGTGGGGGTGGGAAGAGATCACCTACGACACGCCTTTCAAAAAAGAGAAGTCTTTCGAGATCGTGGTCATGGTGCTGAGGGACAAGTTCCAGGTGGGTCGGGGGCACGCAGAGTCGCCCTCTGTGAGCACACGCGTGGGCTCGTCTGCACAGCTCTTCAGCCTGGAGGTACTTCGGCTGTTCAGTCTTCCTCTGAAGTAGCACCGGGCAGGTCCCTGACAGCGAGGTGGGGTGCAGCCTCCCCCAGTCAGTCCTTGACTCACGGGGACAGGCCTCAGCAGCCATCTCCCTTCTATGACTGTGAGCTCGGCCTAACGGCCGTGTCGTATCTGAAGCTGACAGCCGGCGGGAGGGGGTTCTCGGCACAGAGAGCAGAGGGTTTGCAAAGCCAAGTCTTGTCAGTTTTTATTGCTCGGGGTGCACGCACTTGCCAGAGAGCAGGTGCCGTCTGATGGGCCGTGACCGCACCACACTCCTTTCCCTCCACTTCCACCCATCATGACTGTGGGCACCTGTGCACGCACACACGCGTGCACGGCACATTTTCAAGCCACCAGGACTGGGATGTGGACTGCGGTCGCCGTGTGGGACCCAGGCCCCTGCACGGGGCTTAGCCGCTGTGCTGAGGCCCAGCTCTGCAGACTTGTCTGCTGTAGGTACTGGGTCTCTGGGGAAGTCCTGACTTACTTTTCTACGAACAACGTGTCACGGTTTTCCTGACAGCCCAGTAGTTCTGTAAGGCTGTGAGGTCCTCTGTCAGAGGGCTGTAGAAGTCCTTGCAGGAAGTTCTGCACTGGCTCTCTGGAATGCTGTATCTGGCGTGCCTGTGAAAGTAAATTTGGCCCTCAAGCCCCTGAGCGTTCCTAGGTAAAAGATTCGAGTGGAAACTCACACCTCTCCTCAGGGTACTGCTCCGCCTGACCCCGAGCCCCTTACCTCCCTTCGGCTGGCCTCTGGCCTTCAGAGCCCCGTGTCTGCACCACTCCTGACAGCTGCCCCGTGCCCTTTCCCCACACACCCTGCCACAGTGCCCCGGCTCTGGGGGAGGCCGAATGCCCACCTGCGAGGCCCCGACCGGGGGTGTGCAGAGGCTGCGCTCTCTCCTCACACAGCTCCAGAGCAGGGAGGGGCACGTGCATTCACTCAGCAAATCCAGCACGCTTCCACGGTGCCTCGAAGGGAGCGGAGCGGAGCCTGCAGGGCCGATCTTGTCTGGGTTCCCAGGCCAGGGCACCTGTGCAGGGCCTTCCAGGGGCCCTCAGGGCCCAGGCTGTCTCCTACACAGAGGTGCACACACGGCACACCCAGGCGTGGGCACACATACTCAGGAATGTCTGTGGTCTAGGGAGGGGCAGTGTGGCACTGAACGAGACCCGGCTCCGGAAACCGTCCAGCTGCGGTCCTGGCGGTGTTTGTCGCAGCGTGGTAGTGTGTGCAGAGAGCTGTGGGGAGGTACGTGGTTAAGTCCTGGAAATGCTTGGCGTGAGTCCAGCTCTTCACTGTTGGCATCCCCTCTGTCTGCCCAGGTGGCTGTGAACGGGAAGCACACACTGCTCTACGCGCACAGGATCGGCCTGGAGCGCATCGACACCCTGGGCATCTACGGCAAAGTGAGCGTGCACTCCGTGGGCTTCCGCTTCAGCTCGGAGAGCGCCCGCCACAGCTTCCTGCCCACGTTTTCTGAAATGGTACAAAATGTCTTTAATTCATAGTTTCTTTTCCTTTTTTGGGGGAGGTTTTTGCTGTAGGGTGCGTGCACTCGCCAGAAAGAAAGAGACAGAGAGACAAAGCGAGAAATCACCTCCCGGGGGTATGGCCACACTGCAGTCCCTTCTCCTCTCGCGATCTTGGGCGCTGGTGTGAGTTTAAGCCACCAGGCCCGGGACTTGAACCATGGTCGACTACATGGGAGTCCAGTGACACAGCCATTACGCCAACGCTGGTCCCTATTTCATAGTTTCTATCAAAATAAAAAAATACAGATGCCTGCCCCAGTAAGTATTATGTTTTCAGACAGGTCGCCAGGCCTCTGTGGTCTCAGACCCGGTATGGTTCAGTAAAATCCACTCTCTGGCTCGCGGGGGCGTCCTTCCCTCAGAGCAGCTGGAGTATTCCGAAAGACGGTTTCCCGAAGTGGGATGTCTTCAGTCGGAGGATTTGCTTTTAAGTCTGGTTGGGCACTGCGAGCTCACCCTCCAGAAAGATGTTGGAGACGCTGTGCACTCGGCCACCCCTCCGCTCGCACCCTGTTGCCCCGAGACCTCACCCTGCAGTGTTGCCACCTGAGGACAGAGCGAGGACCCCTGCCTTCGGAGCGCCGGCTTCTTCCTCTCCTAGAATATTTCAGGGTTACGATAGTTACGAATTTTGCTACATCAAGTGGGTGTTTTCTTTCTTTCTTTTTTTTAAAGAATCATGTATTTATTCTTATTATTTTTTTATTTGCTGTGGGGCACATGTACTCACCAGAGAGAGAGAGAGAGAGAATTCAAATGTGAACGCAAGCCGTGAGGTCTGGGACGTGAGCTGTGGTGTGCTGTGTAGGAGTCCGGCACCTTAACCACCTGCCACCTGCTGGCCCCATGCACGCAGTATTTTAACTAGATGTTCTGATGAATTTCAAGAGTTAGTCTTGACTATCTTTTCTCTAGGATTTACAGAAGATCCAAGCATCTACTCTGGAACTGACAGAGATACGCAAAGAAAATGTAAATATTCAATCTTTCTGTTAACTCTCAGAAGTCTCAAAAAATAGGGACCAGCAGTCAGCATAATGGTTATTACCCCACTGTCTTGGGTGACTGTGCACACACCTGTGAGCTTTCAGGCCATCCAGGGGTCTGAGTCTGGACTCCATGTAGTTGACCAGGGTTCGAGTTCCAGACCCAGTAGCTTAAAGTCACTCGGGGCGTGTGTGTGCGTGCCCAAGATCCTGGGAGGAGAATGGAGGAGAAGGGATTGCGGCATGGCCATCCCCCCAGGGGGTGATTTCTCGCTTTCTGTCTCTGTCTCTATCCTTCTGGCGAGCGTAAGCACCCTATAGCAAAAAACAAACAAACAAAAAACCTCCAAAAAATATTCTTTGACTTACTTAATTTTATTTTTTAAATATCTTAATTGACTTTATTTTCTGTTCTTGAATTGGGCAGCACTGCATTCCATAAGACAGAATAAGTGTCCCCCAAAATATCCTCCCCGTTGCTCTGTAGATCTGGTGGCAGGAAGGCTGGGCTTTTGTCTGTTTTCTTTAGGTTTTTTAATGCATGTTCTGAGAGAGAGGGAGGGAGACCCGCCCTCCGCAGTGTTCTCACCACCCTCTACCCCACAGCCCTGCAGCTCATAGGCGTGACCCCTGAGTCAGAAGGGGCTTTGCTTCCAGCACAGTGCAGAAGCACCCTCCCTACTTCCCTCAGGGGCTGGGCCAGGGAGGCTGAGTTTTGTTTTGTTTCTCTTTGTAATTGCTGGAGGGCATGTGCACCCATCAGAGAGGAGGGAGAGGAGAGAGCACCCGCCCTGCAGTCCCTTCCCCGTCTTCCTACACCCTGGGCTCCAGGGCTCACATACAGGAGTGCCTGGTGGTATTTTCAAGCTGCTGGGGCCAGGATTCAGGCTGGTCAGCGACATGGGATCTGGCCCCCTTAACCACTAGACTATGGGACCAGTCCAAAATGACGTTTTTGGTCTGACTCTAGGATGGAGTAATCGTTAGAAGCCTAAGGCATGTAGTTCTCACGGGCCTGACCCAAGGGCCTGCCTCCACCCCGTTGAGGTGCGGAAAAGAGCTCTCTCTCCAGCTGTCACCTGCACAGCGTGGTTGCAAATGACTGTGCTCTGGCACACGCACTTTCACAGTGTCTGTCCCCACCCCCTGTGGGAGAAGTGCAACTCAACTGCACGTTTGACACGGCCTTTCCAAGTCGCGTGTACTTTCTTCACGTAGAGAGCGTGTGTGCACCCGAGAGACAGAAGCACCCTCAACAGGGTCTCGTCTCGCTGAGTCCCCCTTCCCGTCTCCAGCCCCGGGGTCTTGGGTGACTGTGCACACACCTGTGAGTTTCAGGCCGTCCAGGGTCCGAGTCTGGGCTGCCACGTGGCGTCCCACGCACCAGTTCTACCTGTTGCAGCCTGCGCCGCCGGTCGGGGCCATCCTTGGGTCGGTACCGGAGAACATGAGGTCTAACTGCCGTGGAATGTCATCTCAGTGTGGGGACCCTGGGAAGGGGAGACAAGATGAGCGTGACGTTCACCGGTGTGCTATGGGAAGCACGAAGGGTCAGATGCACCGAACTGTCAGCCTGAGGAGCTGTGCGATCCCTGCTCGCTGCTCTAAAGCCCGCGCCCCGGCCGTCACCCAGGGCGGAGCTGGCACCAACATCCGGGCCCTGGGCAGGCTTGGCTGTTGCTACTCTCACGAAAAAATGCCGTTCTTCTCTTTCAGTCTCACTTTTTCTTTCTCTTCCACAGGTAGAGAAACCTGGCACGCCCCCGTTGGTAAGTACCTTTGCCAGGCTGTCACGTGGAGCACTCTGAGACTGCCCAGAAGATGAGTAGGCAGCGTGTCCCTTCCATGCCTCACGGCAGAACTGTCTCCCTGCAGCCTAGTAATAGAGGAGACGTTTCTAAAGCCGTACCCAGAACTGTCTGCACCAAGAGCAGAGGCTCGCCTGGCCACCACACTGTGACTTGCACCAAAGTGCTGCCTACCAGCTGTCTGTCAGAGGTCCGAAGAGCCGCGGGTTCCTCACTCCCTGGCCATGGGGGTGGCTCGTGGTCACGTGTGTCTCTGCCCCCGTAGGTGTTGCTGCTGTCTCGGTAGACTGAGCCAACCAGGCTGTCCCTGAGGCACTGTGCCCAGTGAGTGGCTGCTCCCCGGCAGGTGTGGCACGCCTGGGTGCGTGCTCACGCTGCGGGTGTGGTTCTGTGGTGTGACGTGCAGACGTAGGGCTCCCCGTGGGCCAGGCAGGGACACTGCTGGCACCCGGCAGACTTTGTCCCCACCACGAGTCTGCAGGGTCGTGGCCCTTACACTGTCCTTGGGACAGTTTTCTTGGGGATCCCTATGCTGGCCTCCTAATCTTGCCTGTGGCTTCTTTTTTCAGACCCTGCCATTTGTCGCCAGGTTGAACTCCCCGATGGGCCCTGGACGAACGGTGGTCGTGAAGGGAGAAGTGAACACAAATGCCAAAGGGTCAGTACCCTGGTGGCTGCCACTCTGCGTGGGCCTGTCGCCATGGCCCCGCGTCCCGTACCAGCCCGTCTAGCTGGCAGGGCTGGCGTCTTCATCCTTGTGTGACGCGAGAGGGCCAGCTCCTGGCACGGCCCTGGGCTGGCCTTGGCTTGTCCCAGCAGGACGAGGGCTCCTTACCGTGGACAACCCAGGGCAGCCCGTGAGGTCCAGCAGCCCTCGTCGGGGCCTTTGTTACACGCTCACAGCATTGTCTGCTGTGAGACCCCTCCCAGAGACGTCGGCCTTCCACGAGCTCGAAGTTAAAGCTATTTTGTGGAAATCGTTTCTCTGCCAGAGGAACGGACACACGGAAGGGCCGAGAGCGCATCTCAGGGTCCCGGGTCCGCGGCCTGAAGCGGCCCCTGCAGTTGCCGCCCGTCAGAGCAGCCTCGGCACTGGCCTTTGTATCGGTACAGTGCTGGCCCACGCTAGGACCTGCAGCCCCGCGCTGGGACCTGCAGTCCTGCCGTACCCCGAGTACCGGTGTGCACCCCGTGTGTCGGCCAGTACAAGCCCGGTGGCGGGGCTCACGGAGGCCACTCCTCTGTACTGTTTAATTAAGGTTTTCTTCCTCTCCAAAGCTTCAACGTTGACCTCGTAGCAGGGAAATCAAAGGATATCGCCCTTCACTTGAACCCGCGCCTGAATATCAAAGCCTTTGTGAGGAACTCATTCCTTCAGGAGTCCTGGGGGGAAGAAGAGAGGAGCATCACCAGTTTTCCGTTCAGCCCTGGGATGTACTTTGAGGTGAGGGCATAGCTATTGAAAGTGCGACGGGGACAAGGGTGCTGGGATGGTCCTGACTGGTGAGGGTGTGGGGGTCACCATCCGAATGGCCCTCAGAGCCCAGACGGAGGGCATAGCAGCGAGATGTCTGCTGGTGTGTGGAAGGGGACGGCCGCCCCTCGTGGGTCTGTGGAGCTCTGGTGGGATCCCATCTCAGGGCTGAAATGACATGCTCAGTCCCGTGGGCAGGGGGACCAGGAGCCTGAGAGCTGGCACAGCGTCGTCCCCCATGAGGAGAGCGTCCTGTTTACATGTACTCGGGGGGACAAGAGAACCTCAGGACCAAAAGGCAGGGGCCCTCAGTCCCTAAACGTGAATACCTAGGCCAGCAGGTGGCGTGGAGGGTAAGGTGCTGGGTCCCACATGGTCGACCGCGTGGTTTGAATCCCAGACCCGGTAGCTTGAAAAACACACCAGGCATGTGTGCATGTGTGCCCAAAATCCCAAGAGAAGGATGGAATTCAGCAGGGTGATTTCTCTGTCTCTGGCAAATGCATGTACCCTATAGCAAAACAAACCAAAACAAACAAACAA